TCTCTTTGTGGGCGCAACCGATTCTGCCGTTCCCTGCGCTATGATCTTACATATTGTCCATACTTTGGATCAGCCGCTCAAAGCGCACAGACTTTTGGTATGAATGCAATTGATCTGAATGTGTGTTTTTATTTATATATTGATTGAATATGTTTGTAGTCTTCAAGTGATACAACACTTCAATTGATATTCTTCGACGGCGAGGAAGCGTTTGTCAATTGGAGTGAAGAAGACTCGCTGTACGGGTCCAGACATTTAGCGCACACTTGGAATCGTAAAAAATTTCTGACAACCGATGAGGAGATCAGCCAATGCGGGCACATGTCGGACATGACGTCAGAAATTGATCGCATGGAAGCGATGATATTACTGGATCTGTTGGGCACAAAGAATCCTAACTTTTATAGCCATTTCTCAGACACTCATTCGCTGTACTCAAGAATTGTGAGAATAGAGCAAAAGCTGAATAAATTAAATCTAATGGAATCGAAGACACAGTACTTCCACAACACGAAGTCGTGGTTCGGTGGCATCGAAGACGATCACATCCCGTTCCTCAACAAAGGGGTTCCCATTCTTCACGTGATTCCCACACCGTTTCCCGACGTCTGGCATAAAGACACGGATAATCGCCAGAGTCTACACCACCCGACTATTCATAATTTATTGAAAATTTTTAAATTATTTGTTGTCCAATATTTGCATTTAAATGTCATTTAATTATTTAATTAGATTTTTATAATATTTTATATTCTGTTTACGAATAAATCAATTATTTATTTTTATGAAAAAAACTTTTTTATTTGTCAAATGAAACGGACTTTCGGTTTGTGGATGTCATTGAAATATTGATTAAATACAAGTCATTATTGGTAGAAAAATAAAATTATGCACACATTGTTCGCATGTTTTCCAATGGGTTAAATGTAAGTAATCTTATTAATCTTTGTTAATCACTTTTACCATAATGTAATTAATATTTATGAATTAATAATTACATGATATTATAATTATTATAATATCATCATCATCATCATAATTACATGCAAATAGTTAGTAAATAGTGTAATAAATTACACAATATACTAATTACACAATAAAGCATGACATGTAATTGTCAATTACAGTAATTGAAAGCTAGCTGAAATATGATATTTCAAAATGTTATATCACTTATACCTTTGGACTTAAGAATATCTGTGCGTCAAAAGTCTTAGTCAAAGCCTTAATTAAAAAAGTGTTTTGAAATTATTAATTTTTTAGATCACATGTTAAGTACGTGTAACATATGATAAATTTTATTAAGCAATTATAAGTATAAATTAATCGCAAAGAAAATTATAACATGTTTTATAATTTCTCGGGAATTAATTAAACATAAGATAACTTTAAGTATGAAAACAACACTACTATACAGTACTGTACACTGAATACACTTTCCACTCAATGCACCTAAACTTTGGGTTCCAATAATATACTGATAATTGGTATCATATGTTTAATTTAACTTTATTTATACTAACTATTAAGTTATACAATATACTTTTGTTAGTCAATCAACTCTATGAACATTGATATATCTGGGTAATTTCTTACAACACATTAGAACCGAATTCATTAAATTCTGTTTTTAAAATATTTTGCAAACATATTTTCAAATATGTCTATTAAATTAGTGCTCCAAAGTAATATTTACAACATTACATGTATATGTGTTTTATATTGTTTATAAATTATTAATAGTAATGAGACTTTAATTGACGTTAATTAAGTAAAATAAGACAAACCATTGCAAAATTTACATACAATTTGTATATTTACAAAGTAATATATAAGTTATATATAAGAATAGGATACAAAAAAGTTTTGCCCATCCCTTGTAACCTGGAATCCAGTTTGGATTTGTATAATATAAATATTAAGTTAAATCAATTGTAAAACATTTGAATTTTACGAACAAAGGAACAGGAATTAAAAATATTTCACCATAATAACACTTTTATAAAGACATAGTACATACACATTTTGTAGTCTGTAGATTGTAGTCTAGTTTTTAAGATAAAGTCATCAAATATAACATAATCTATTGCAAAATATGTTACAAATATGTTATATGTTATACACTATTGATAACACATTTAATAGCAATTTCAAAGAAATAATAGAAATAATAAAATTCATGTGTTTTCATAACCGGAGAAAAAAAAATTGGAAATACAATAGTTTTTCACTCAAGTAATGCCATTCACTAGAATAACAATGTTATAATGTGTGTGCGACTTACTAGAAAATTAGTCATATTTGATGTTTCAAAATAAAATTTAAATTAATTAACAATAAATTCCATACAAAATCATTCAAATTTTTAAATATGTTGCAATGTTATAATTTGTATTTAAATCAATAAATGTAAATATAATTATTGATCTAAATATCTGCTATCGGTTTGGATTCTATTTGACAGTTGTTTAAATTACAGAATACAGTAATATTTGTGTACAGTATCAAGTACTTTGTGTACTTGATGTTGCAATTTTTGCCAAGATCACATTTCTATTCTATACTATTTATCATGTTTATAGAAATCAGCATAATCTTATTACTAACGAGCGAACGGTACGAGCTTGTCGACCGATATCTTAATAAAAAGCCACTAATCATATAGTTCAGGCCAAATAAAAAATATAAATTGGATATCTCGGGCTGATAGCCATAAACTCGCGAGATTTGTCCATTTTAGTGATTCCGCGTATACGGCGTATAGCATTGAAAAACGGCGTTTCACACAGTGCTTGGGCCAATCACCAGTACTGCATTGCTATACGCTGTATGGGCGCGATCACTAAAATGGCCATATTTCGGGCGTTTATGGCTATCAGCCCAAGATATTCAATTTATATTTTTTATTTGGCCTGAACTACATGATTAGTAGCTTTTTATTAAGTTATCGGTCGACAAGCTCGTACCGTTCGCTCGTAAATAATATAAAACAAGGATCACACAGCGATGCTATACGTTAACCACGATTCGGGTGATGCTCAAAGAATAGATTAGCATTATCTGTATATTTAATAAGAGTCCATAGGATTAGCATTAGTCCCATAGAATTAGCATTGCCATAGACTTAGCATTACCTATGTTAAAGTATAGCCATAGACTTAAGCTGTATTCCCATCTTAAATTCCATAGGGTGAAGGGGGTTGGGGTGAGGGGCCGCCGAACAATACTATAAACCACATTCTATGAATCACATATGAATCGTGATTAAAAATATGCATTTATAAGCAGTCAAATATGTCATATGACAAAAATTTAAAGTAAATTGTGATTTAAATTACAAATTGATTGCTAAATAGTTGCAATATTAAATTGACAATAATAATATTATTATGTTTTCAAAGAATGGTGTTTATTAAAGAATAAAATATTGCAATCCATTTGCTGTAACAATATTGTAATTCCCTATAAAAACCCCACCAAAACCTTTAGCGGTGCTGTTCAATGGGATGCAAAATAATAGATAAACAATTTTGCAAATTTTATATCCTAATTTATTAGAGTTCAGAGCTCACGATTTCTAGCTAACAGTAATATAAGTTTTTTATAAGTTATACATAATCTGACACTTTATTAAATATAATTATCCAATATTATAATTACAGTCGGCTAAAAAGACCAAATATGCCTTAAGATGCAAAATAAAAGTTGATTATTATGTCATTCGTTTCTCACAAAGTCCCAAAAATATATAACTAACCAGTACAAATATAAAATATAATCTGTTCAAATACTAATCTTTACATTTGAAATTAAATTATATGCTTTACTTATTACTAATCCTCTAAATTCCAATTGCAAAATCGTTTTAACAGAATGTGACAAAACTAATGATAACTGTTTAGAATTAGAAATTCATGTAATTTTAATCAATACATTTTGCTAATAACCATGAGCAGATAACTGTAAAGTGAGCAGCGAGTATTACATGTTCACTATTCGCTAGTATTGTAGGTATTCCCATTCTGATGCATTTTTCATTATATTAAAAATAATTTGCACACCATTTATATCTACAAATGATTGGAAAATTCCTAATACAGTATTGATTGAGATTTTTATTGCTAAAAAACAAGCAATTTTAATATAGAAATTATAACAATTTAAACTCTTTTCAGTGATATCGTGAAATATCTATCATGTTATTTTATGCTGTCTGCATAACCATATTATTAAAATTGATAAATTCTCTCTATTACATGTATTTTTGCTGTGTATCATTTAAATAGATTACCTATTACATCAAATCAGCCAGGTAGCTTTTAAATGCTAATAAAAATACTTTGCCTTTCCTGTATTAAAAATGTGTGAACGTGATCGAAAACTACTAAATATTCGCACATGTATAGTTCGTATATTATATTTCATTTCCTAATTATGACATTGAATTAAATTAAGTAATCAATAGTCAAGTCGTTTAAATATTTTGCGCCTTTATCTGTGAATTTAATATTCAATTTCCACTATTGTATTGTATTTCAAATATTAGTTATATTAGAAAATTTCGCAAAATTAATAATTAATTTATTATAATACAAAATATCTATAAAAGCAAACAATTCGTTCAGTAATTTCTCAATTCTTCTCGATTTTTAAAGTATTCAAGAGATTCTGGATTCGCGATCGCATTCTTATTGGTCACCTCTTTGCCAGCGATTATCATTTTGACGGCCACTTCAATCTTCTTACCATTGATTGTATACTAAAAAAACCAAAATATATTATAAATACTTAAATACTTCAACATTTAATATGGCGTCACATGTCTTACGGGAATGTCTGGCACTTGAAGGATAAGACTCGGCACATGTCTCGGCGACAATCGATCTCTGATTAGAGTTTTGATTTTCGATACGATCTCTGAATTGAATTGATAACTATTTTTCATTTTCAAAAACAAGACAACCCTTTCTTCGTTGGCGTGATTATACTGCGAGACACAAACGCTGTCCTCTACTTCTTCTATCAAATCAATTATACTATAAATCTCTGAACTCCCGAATCGGACACCATTTGGATTCAATGTGCCATCACTTCTGCCCAACATTTGAATGCCATTTGTTTCACCATTTATTATGCAAAAGTCTCCGTGAGTCCAAACACCTAATCATTCAATATTTATTAAGTTTATCAGTATTTTGTTACTTAAAAGTTATTTTAAAAATACTACAGCATAATCGTACGTATGTTATAAGACATCATTTAAACCCGATATTGTTTTAAATCCTAATGGAATTATTAAATACATTTGTTTTCAGCAATGAATCATTACTAATGAAAAAAGAGAATCTCGGGAAAATGTACATGTTGTGTTATTGAATTTAGTTATAATTTTCAATAACAATAGATATGATAGTGTTTTGGTCATACAATTTTGGGCCAATTCTCTCAAATATTTCCCAAAAAAACTAGTCGTCTTGCGTTAAAATAGAAAACAATGAACCATGGGCAAAATACTTTGGACATACAATACTATAATTGTACATTGTTTGTCAAATATCATGTTAATAAATGCTATGAATGGTTTGACATCAAAATATTTCATCATCATAATATTACATTATAATGTGATTAATTATTTAATTTTGCCAATTATTTATTAAAACCAAAGATTCATTGTTAACATCCGTTTGTAAATCAACAGAATATGATTCTATATATCGCTATAGGATTTCTAAAGCCATTAATGTGATTATCGGTGTTAATGATTGAATTAAAAACAAAGTTCATAACAGATGTGAACAAATAACTTATAAATCTAGAAAATAAACAAAACCTTTAAAGTGTGAAAAATATGCATTTCTGTATTTGTCTCCATTCGGATCGTTCCAAAACATTGTGGGCATCGATGGGAAGGGTTTAACACAAACCAACTCTCCCTTCTGGTCGTACACCGCTTTTCCTGTTATATTCAATGCGATTGTTAAACACAACGTAATGACAATATTTGCAAATTTAACAAAACCTGTTGAATCAAAGCACTGGACAGCCATTCCTAGATTCCTGGCCTGTATTTGCTCAGAATGCACGGCAATTGTCGGGTTTTGTCCCGCAAAACATGATATTATATCAGAGCCGCCGGATATAGAGCCGAGCAAAACATCTTTTTTGATACATTCGTAAACATAAACATAGGATTTATGACTTA